CACGCAAATCGAACCTCCATTGCAAACCACATATGGAAGATCAAAACAGGGGCAGAGACTTAGTATGCTCCAACCTATGTAGAGGATTATACCGGCGCTGTTTTGTCGACGGGGGGGGGGGCATTTTGCTATCTACTTGCTTCCTCTAGTTGCGGTTCACAATCTCACACCTGGTAGAGACCTGTGAACCCTGTGAGCTGGTGCAAGATGTCTAGGCAACGATGCATAAACCGGTGTCGCACGTCGAGAAAAGGCTACTAGAGGGTAGGCACTCGTGCTGGAAAGCAGAATGCCGCTTCGTCGACAAACTGCCGATTTAGTCTTCTAAGTGCTACTGTAGGTGGTAGCAGGAAGAGGAATTACATTATCCCCCAGTTTTGCAAAGTGGCCAAGGTTCCTGACAGTAGTGAAAGAGGGATGGAGGCTGTCTAGCAGACGCTGAAAAATTCAGCGTATTAGCAATGTGATGATGAATATTGCATGAATGACCTCAGTGAATGAGGAGAAGGCCCTCACGAGGCAGATTCCATATCATATCTCTCATCTTGAAACCTCGACACTGCTTGACATTGTCTTTTGTTTCTTCCACGAGGTTTTCAGGCGGAAACTTTATTCCACCCACGTTTCACCCTTTCATCGTTGTCAAGTATGGTAGTGGTAGTCGGCGAGTGGTATAATTATGGTGCTCGTCTGAAAATGGCAGAGCGGGAGCTAGCGGGACTGCTAAGAGTAGTGAAGAACTGGCGCAAAGAGCGAAAATAAACGCTTCAGAAAACTTGCAAAACCTTTGCGTCTAAGCGAGCTAGAGGAGCCGATTTGGACGAGCTCTCCGTTGGCGTCGTGCAATAAGGTTACGGTAGATAGCGGTGCTGTAGGTCTCCTATATCATGCAGGCACCGCAGCCGCTTTCATTGAATCCTCGGAATTCATGTGTGTAACTGGCAAATGAAGCGCACGAGATCACGTATGGATGACATTGTCCGCCGGCGGGTGGACGTCCGGTCGGTATGTTGCAGCTTGATAGGCACGTGATCAGGTACCTTTGTGTGAACAAGGTACCTTGGCACGACCACTCAGAGAAAATATAATGAATTGTCTAGGTTGAGTATCCATGAAAGCCCGTAGAGAGATATATAAAGCAAACTGCTTTTAGAATCGCCACGTTCCAACTCAAGACGGTCCTCAAACACATAATTTGGGGTCATTCAGTGGAACATGGCAAAATGTACCAAGAATTCGAAAGATAAGCTCTGACGGAATGAGTCAGAATGCTGAGAAGGCAGGAAAAGCCTTATGCGTGGCGCACAGATGCGCAATTTTTTGAAGCTTGTGAAGCATTAATAAAGGCCTTTGTCAGCGACAAAAGGGTCGAAACTTTGACCAAACAAAGTTTCCACCTGAAAATCTCGTGGCAGAAAAATAAGAACAAAAGAGTGCTGACCTCTTTGCCAATCCTCTATTGCCCTCCTCTCATCCTCCCATTCTTTTTCAGTGTCTTCTTCTGACTTTTGATACTTTGTTTTCTTATATAATATGCAGGAGTTTGGGTTTGAATGCTCGTTCTCGGTGATTATCTAGTTGAGGAACCGCATGCGTGGTTGTTTTTTGAAGGACAACCCGTCTGACTAGGTCTAAGACATTGCTCTCCAACGTTTTGCAGTGTTATGAGCGAGTATGAGGACGAGTCGTCGGAAAGCTCGTCGTCTGAAGTCTCCGACATGCACTACGCCAAAGGTGTCATGACGATTGTGTACATAGCTGTATTCATTATTGGCACTCCAGGAAATCTGTGGATCATCTTCAAGCTCATCCAAGCCAGGTCAGTTCATCGTGTCAATTGTTCCGCTTGTCCCGTTATTGACAAGAATAGTTACGTCGTCGGGATACGTCGAATGGCTGGGAATAGACACAGGGCACATCATCGTCGGGGACTACCCACGAGGGGGGGGGGTTTCTGAGAGAAATTTTTTTTGATAGTTGATTTTTCTTGTTTCACGGACGCTACAGGGGATCGCATTTCACCGTTGTTGGAAGAGGAAGGGAGGTCGTTTTCCTTTCCTGTGAGAAATTGGTGGCCTTAGAAAAAATTTTCCCCTGTTGTTGACTTTTCACGGTTTTTCTGTTTATTGTATATCCCTCCCCCGCTCGACGGCTTGGTCGCATCAGAGAGGGGAACTACGGGTGATACCAAGCCACCTCCTAGGGGGGTATGTCCTAACAACATACATCATTGTCCTGCGATCGGGGAGGATATGCCCTAACAGTAACAATTTTGGCACGCCATTGACCGGGGAGGTTCGAAGCACTTTTTTCAGCACAATCCCTCTAAGCGCCAATTACAACTTCCTGATTACGACCATGATGTGTGTTGTTAGGGCATGATCCTCGGCACATACGGAAGGCACCAATACGACATTCTTCACAGGACGGCGACTTGTATGAAGGGTATAGGGGGAAGGAATGGGAGCCGGGAGTGCTCGGCCATCTGAAGAGGAAATAACACAGCTTACCAAAAGGTGGTCGTTCAAGTTCGTGGAACCCATATTTTCAAAGTGCGTTGTATGCATGATGTAGAGGTCATTGAGGAAACCATGCAAATGTGTGGTTCATTTTCGCTGTGCCGCTGGTCGGAGTTCACGAAGGGGACAAGTTCTATGAACTCGCAAGGACTCCGCGATAGGAAGCTCTCCAAGTTTTCTGCGCAAAAAGTGCAAGTGTTTTTGGACACGCTTTTGCTCGGACAAAAGGTTCCAACTCGTTCGTGAGCCAGAGAAAACAAGAATTTAGGAATGCAAGCTCTGCCACCTGGAGGGTGCTAAAACTCCTTTCCACCTTTAGTTGCCTCACCTAAAGCCGCGCAGACGAAAGACGAATTTTTTTTGTCAACCCCTCGCAGAGAAATCTTTAATATGCAAATAAGCCACTTTGAAAGGGTCCTTCAACCAAGAAAAAAACCCCCTTGATAAAGGACTGCAACGTGTTTGAAATCAACGGGTGGGTTGAAAATATTTTATTTGCATATCTTGTTTCGCACTCCGTGACCGTAATATGCCCATCTATTGACTGGCAACTCGTATAGGCTACTAAGCACGGCTACCATCGGACTGACAATTTCACAACGGTCGAGGATATACATCTTCGCCCTTAGCCTGTTCTGATCTCGTCCTTCTGCTCACATTGCCGCTCACTGCCAGTTACAATTATAAAGGAACGTGGATTTTTGGAGAATTCGTGAGTTGTTCGAATCTTTTCCTACGCGGTCTCCCCTAATTCCAAAGGAAATGCTGCTGGTAAAGTTGTGTCAAGGTCGGCAAGGCAAGATCATCAGTCTCCATTGAACACTCTAGATGGAACTCATATGAAAAATAATGCCTAAGCTCGAATTGCATCTATCACTTTTTAGAAAATAAGAATATGACTTGTAATGTACTAACTGTGCATAACTCAAAATATTTATTCCAAAAAGCTCAGGAGACACAGGGAAAGGGGCCGCAGTCGGCGATGGAGGGGGGATGGGCATTGGCTTTCGATGCTTCACTAGTTTCGGTTTACAAGTCTTCACTCTGGTGAAATTGTGAACTCTAGAGGAGCTGAAGCGGGAGGAGACGGTAAGAGGATCGTAATTCGCCGCACCGCCACGCGCGGAGATCGGAAGAGCGTTTAACTCGAATTAAAAACCTACACAAAAGTCGACATGGAAGCCACCGGACTCCATGTAGACCCCCCACGATGGTTCAGGTAGTAGATGGCGACAAAATGCAATTAAGGACCGAAAGCAGTAATGACTGTCTACGATGACGGGGTCTACATGAAGTTCGGTGCTCCATTCGACAGGTTAAAACGAGTTATGAAAACGCCGCGCCCATCGCCGCGCGTGGCGGTGCGGCGAATTACGATCCTCTTTACCGTCTCCCCTTACTTGTTTCACGTCCTCTAATTGTTGTTGTGTCATCTACTGCCTGATAACCATCGCTGCCTTTGAGGACGACGTCGCACGCGACCGCTCGGCAGCGCGGGCAAAAATTAGCCGATCCTCTTGTCACTATACCCAGCTGATAGCAAGCTCGTTAAGCCATCATGTTAAAACCTGTTAACTCAAGAAGAGGCTTTCTAGATGGGTCGACACGTCGATGGGAAGTGTGATATGTGCAAAATGTCCCCCCCCCCCGTCACCGAACTGCGCCGCCATATAAGTTTCAAAAAGAAGAATATTTGTCGTATTTTTGCCCTGTTTTCTATGGTATAGAGCGCATCTCCGCCTTAAACGCCATGGTTTTTTTGGCTTGCCTTTTGCCTGATTTCCATGCTACACAAGTGATTGATTTTGTAGAAAAGGGGTTTCAAAGCCAACTAGAAGGCTAGAATATGCAAAAAAAAAACTGAAAAAGCAGCCGCTCTCTTTAGATACCTTTGGCGCACGCGTTGTCGCGTGCGTGTCCGCAATCACGCATTGCCCTTTTTCTGGAGCAGAAAGCGCACCCATTTTTTAAGGCGCACCTTCTCTTTTAGCGCCTCAAATGCGTTTTTCCCCGATTTATTTCTATGTTTTTGATTGTTCCTATTCATACTAACAATCTGGAGGTGTTTGAAAACCAATCGAAAGAAAACTATACCAAAAAGAAAAGGAAACTTTTGCTGTATCTACCGCTTTTCGCGCGCGTTCTCGCATGCGACTCTGCGGATTGCGCCTCATACCGCAGAAGACAGGGCAGTTCTGAAAACCTTTGGGACTTGTGTCTCTTGAATTTTTCGGACCAAAGGTTTGGAATTTCATACGGTCATCTAGCATCTGAAGCCATCAGGCTACGGAACAGCACAACTTGGAATTATTCACATCCTCATGCTTAATCAGGAGCTTGATTTAGAGGAAGAGTAGTCAACTGATGTCAATGTATTTATCCCCTGAAGGTCAATGTTTTCCAACAACTTACGCTGCACTTCGGCACACTGTTGTTACTCTGAGACATTTCTTCTTAATTTGGGGTAGACCAGAATAACAAATGACCGCCCACGAACTCTCGTTGGAGGCGGTGAGTTCCGCGAAGGAGAGTGCAAGTTTAACTGCCTCGATGAAAAGTGCTTAGCGCAACTCTAAAGCTTGACGCTGGTGGTCAATTTGCCTGCAAAAGATGGGGACAAAGTTGTCATCTCTCACTGGACCTTCAACCTACTAAAACTCCATTTCGGAAACTCCACAGTGCAGAAGTAGCTGAGAAGATTCAATGTAGTGTAAAGCAGCTTAGTGATCACGAAATGTTTTCTGAACTCGTTTCCAGGGATAGAAATGTTTACTGTTTACTTTAGGAAACTTCGTCAATTGACTCATCCTCCTGTTGATCATTCAGAGGTGCTAGACATAGTGTTTAGTGCTACAGAAAACGTTCATGTGCCAAAGCAAAGCAAAACCGCAAAACTGAAAACATCATTAGCACCTTCAGCAGTCGAAGCGATGACGTAAATCGGTTGTGCCTGCTGTCACTACAGGAAATCTCAGAATAGCTCTCATTCAAAGGTTCAGAAAACTTCAAACCTAGGCCAGTCCCTTTTGGGACCTTTCCCATGCATTACACTTCCGGTCGGAAGATCGGTAGTGGACTAGTGAAGGCGATGGCCACATTGAATGACGTGCTGGGTTAGTCCACGAAAGATTCAGTTATATCGTAGGCAACGCTGGTACCAACCCACCTAACCTGAACTGATGGAATAGAGCCGATCTTGGATTGTACTTCCGGCGTGCACCCACTGGGTGCCTTGTTATGTCAGCCGGTGGGAGATTCAGCTGTATCATAGGCAACAATGTTGCCAGTTCACCTGATCTCAGTGGATGCAAGACTTCATTGATCCTAATAAGCGCTGGTTCAGGGGGCTAATGCCGTTTGGACTCTAGAAATTTCGTCTTCGAGCTCATTTTAAAAGTGGCAAGATCACCAAATCCGCTAAAAACTTGTATATAGGGGGTAATTCAACATCCTGATCGAATATGACATTCATTTTTGGCGCTGGCGCTAATGGATGACACTACGGTTACCTGCGCTCTGCTAAGGCTGAGCCCATCGTAGGCGCCAGCGCCAAGAATGAGTGTCATACTCGTAATCAGGATGTTGAATTACCCCTATATACAAGTTTTTAGTGGATTTGGTGACTTAGGCAATTTGAAAATGAGCTCGAAGACGAAATTTCTGGAGTCCAAACGGCATTAGCCGGTCTCAGGGTTTGACCCCTGGGATTGCACGCCTTGTAGGCAGCGCCACTTACCACTACACCACTTTTCCCTAGAAAGCCCTTAGCTCGAAACAGTTATATAAACTCAATTTTCAGATGTGTTACGCTCACTTGACAATCGAGATCGTCGCCAAACTCTTCTCAGTCGTTCTGCTCACCGTGATGAGTCTTGAACGATATTTTATTGTTTGTACGAGGTTCGTTCACAGTGATCTGCTAATGTGATATGAGCGGCACTATCCCACTTGTACAACTCCAAAAATACAAAATTTTCCCGGTAAAACTCTACCCTTAGGGTTTACTTGGCGCCCTGATCACTGATATCACATCCAATTTTGGCGCTGGCGCCATGTGGAGCGCTTTCTCATCAAAGTTCACGAAAATTTTTATGCGGGATTATCTGATACTTCGCTCATGGGTGACGCTCATTTTCAGCGCTAGGCGGCATTAGGCGCCAATCTGCGCCATCACCTTTCTCATAAAAGTTGATGAAATTTGTAGAGGGGGGGGGGTATTCGACATCCTGATCACAAATGGGACATTCATTCTTGGCGTTGAGGCCAGTGTATGGCATTGTGGTCATTTGCGCTCTACTCAGGCTGAGTCTGGCAAGAAGATAATCACTTTTCGTCCCAGGATCAGCCTTAGGGCAAAGTTGCAATGGTGTCGAAGAATGAATGGCATATCTGTGTTAAAGATATAAATAAACACCCTTGAGTTTTCATCGATTGTGGTAAGAAAGGTGATGACGCCACAATGGGGGCTCGTTGGCAAATGCAAATGGCACCAGCGCCAACTACGAATATCGTATTCGTGATCAGGGCGCGAATTATATCTATGGGCAGAGCTTCAGCGGAAAGCTTTTTCGAGTTTACTGGAAACGTAACAGTGTAATGCCGGATCATTTCTGATTCAATCTGTTACAGGCTAAGAGCGGCGTGTGATACGTGGATGACTGGTGTTCCGTTAGTGGTAGGCACATTGTTTTGTGTAGTTGTGCCTTCAACATTCCACTTCTTTCACATCATTCATCATCAATTCACAATTCCTGGGATGGTAAGTGCTTCCTGTTCAGATTATAAAAGTATCCTCTGGAGCGCTACTGCTACGAGAAGCTAGAACTCACCAGCCATTGAATATATCTGGTCAAGGGCGCTCAGTCAACAATAGAATCATAGGAATGAGGAAATCTCAGTCTCGAGGTCTCCCTTCTGAAAATGCGCTAGGCCAATACCATTGGAGATCGCGGTGACTTTTGGTCGCTCACTATCTGACTACTTCTGAAGGCTTCTTTGACTTGAAAAAACATTGGCGCGTTGAGAATGGGGGTGCTACTCCCTCGTCTTGACTCCAACTCGTGGGGAAGACTACTTCATCATGAAGTAGGGTGGCTAGTGAGATGATAAAGACCCACTAGCCCCTACCGTCTCTAGTCTTTTGCCTCTAGATAGATCAAAAATATACTACCAGAAACCGTTAGAACCACGCGGCGTCGCGCGCGATAATTGCAAGCATCATGTGGTTACAGTTAGCGCGCGCTCGCGATGGTTTTGCTATCGCGAGACATTTCGCCACTACTTTTTCAGTAGTGAAGCGTACCGCGGGTAGCGTAGCGTCGTACCTCAACAGTACGACAATAAGTGCAATCTCTAAGAATGTGCTGCCTAGAAAGCATTGTGACAGTTCAATGAGTAGGTTATCAGCGGGTAAGCTAAATTAGCTCTGTTCAAAATCTGCGCAGCGCAGGTCTGCGTCATAATTGTTCATGACCCCAGGTCCTAGCAGCGTGAAGAGCTGGCTGTAAACTGAAGCGAACACTAATTCAATAATGCAGTGAGATTACGCTCCATTGCAAGCCTGCGGTGTTTGCAAATTGCCGCGCACGCGACGTCGCGTGGTCCTGAAGACTTCCTCCCAAGATATCCCATCTCCTCTTCTATAGCAGTGGGGAATGCAATCGCTTGGGCTTCTCGTAGGTCGAATCGGTCCGCAGAACTCCATTTGCAATCATCTCTTTCCTAATAGCTCATAGAAGGGTATGGAACGCTGCAAAGGGTTCATGTGAATACAAATAAATCTTCGCGGCAATAGCTGGAGCGACATTAATGTGAGGTAATGCATCACACATATGTGCCCTCAGCGGTTTTATCCGTGGGCTCGCCCAAGTTCCAGATCGCCCGAAATTTCGCTTTTTTGGGTGCAACAATTTCTCATAGGGGTAGTTGGTAGGACGAGGGCATTTGAAGCACCTTATGAAGCCTCCCGTATGCGAACACACATAAGGATGAACTTACACCAGTGTTTAATGTCCTTGGATGGGCCCACATTCTACTTTCATTTAGAATCGTTAGGGCTTATTGATACGATAGCCTACACAGTGGTTTTCGGAGATGCACATCAGCGCCCTCGCCCCCCTCCTCCCTCCCCCCTGCCCTCCAGACGAGTCAGCGAGTCAGACGGCAGATTGAAGTATTGCAGTGCCGATGCCGACTTCAACCATTGGACCGCGCGCTTGGTAAGCGTCGCCACTTGTCACCAACCAACCACCTCCACCCAACTGAATCTTCGATTTTTTTTTACTATTCACTGCTGGTAGAGGCGGAGGTGTAGTGAAAGTGGCCGTTAAACTCAGCTTAGCGCGGTCTGGTTCGCATCCCAGGTCCGGACAGCCCTTAACGCTATCCTAGGCCTTCTTTCCTTCGCCGGACCGTGAAATTGTACCAAGAGTCGTCTTTGAGGATAGGCTGACCTTGCCATCATGCGGCTGGTCCCCCCGGCAGGTCCATTTGATAAGCCACTACGATTTTGAATGGAAGTAGAATGCGTGCCGCATCCCGCAAAGGGATTGTTTAACGGCGGAGACTTTAGACTTTTAGAGACTGCAGGAAGCACTGCTGTACTATTACCCTCGTCATCCGGGCAGTTGATTAGGGCGGTCGTCAACGGGCCGCAGCGCGTGCCAGGAACTATTTGCTTTTTCCAGGCTAATTTAGTCATTTTTTCCAACTTTTCACTGTTTTGGCTACTTTTTCCCAGATTAGCAATCGCTCTCAATCTCTCAAAGGTGGAAAAATCACTAAAATTAGCCGGAAAAGCAAATATTCCTGCCGCGTCGCGGCCGTTTACGACCGCCTATATCAACTGCACCTGATGACGAGCGTTATACTTAGCAAAACCAACAGCGATGTGGCCAAAGAATGAAAAAGAACGGTGGAATAAAGTCGTTCATCCTCGCTTCGCATAAAGGTTACAAGCCACCTGACCTAGTAGTAGCCAATATCCAATGTGTCTTTTGTGCGCCATTGAAGCCTTCAGAGGGAATGTTTATTGACTGCCTGACGTTTCCACTCAGAAATTCAGAAGTGTTTCAAGGGTTTTTCTCTAAACCGCAAACATCTTTCACCCCCTGGCGTTCTTACTTACCTTCCAAAGTGTAAACAAAGAGTTTTCGTCTACAGAGCAAAACAATTGAAAACCTCAAATGAAGGGAAATGACTCATCCATGTCATCCCCACACAGACCTTAGCCAGCTTCATGGTAATCGATGCCTTGCTCAAAAATAGTAGCTAAGGTGTGACGCGGACTGGACGAGCATTTCTTCGACGAATTTTCCCGCATTGTTATCGTATCGAGACAACCCTTTGTTAGGTACGGCTTGCACTGTATTCTCGTCATCCGGGCAGTTGATTAGGGCGGTCGTCAACGGGCCGCAGCGCGTGCCAGGAACTATTTGCTTTTTCCAGGCTAATTTAGTCATTTTTTTCCACGTGAAGATAAGGAGCTGCTAATCTGGGAAAAAGTAGCCAAAACAGTGAAAAGTTGGAAAAAATGACTAAATTAGCCTGGAAAAAGCAAATAGTTCCTGGCACGCGCTGCGGCCCGTGACGACTTTCCGCAGAGGTATTTTCTGTATTGGGACAGTTGTAATAGTAGTATTGTTTTGTTAACATAGGCAGTTCGTACCAAATCGAAATAACTTCTATCTACCCCTCACAAGTGGCCAATCCCACTCCATGTTCGAATGCTACGCCTACCCCGTCTCAGGGATAAGGAGCGTGTTCATATCTCCAGTCACAACGCCTCATATCAGTTGTACTTTAAAACTGAAGTGATAAGAGTACCAGCGTTGGTGTAACAGTACGGTATTTGTGGGCGTCTAGTCGGCATGTTGCAATTTGATGGCATGCTCTTGTTCGAAAAAGCGCCTCAGCGGATTCTAAGGCAGCGTTCAGACTTCGCGACGACAGCGCTTCGGTCGCGCGTTCAACGTGCAGTCGAGAACATATGCATCGATCGCGTCCAACGTGCGACCGAATCGCTGTCGTCGCGAAGTCTGAACGGTGCCTAAGAAGCAAAATGTACCTTCCTGTTAGGCGTATCCACCCTATCCACCTTGTTGATTTATCGTGCACTTGCCTTTAATGCTGAAGTTGTCAACAGTGTCGAATTTTCATGAAAAGAAAAATCGGAGATTATTGACCGCAAAATTTTCCAGGAACATATCACTGTTTGTATACCAAATATGGACGACCACGTGTTCAATATGTATGCACAGTACACATTTGCTGTTGGTTTTGTGGTGCCGTTTTTTCTCATGACCGTCTGCTACATCCTTCTTGTTCGTCATGTCCGAGCCAAGTTCAAGAACCGAAAAGGTAAGCGCTGAGACGAGAATCTGGCTTTATACCCCCATCCTCTTCATTTGCGTGGACTATACTGGGTCGTAGGATGTCGTTCACAAGTTATCAAATTCCAATTTTTTTTGTCTGTGTCTATTCCTACTTCATGAGGATCGCTGTAATCCAGATGGCAAAAATCGACAATTGACGACGTCATGCGTTTCTCCCACTTGTACTTTTAGGGCTCTTCTGCCCTAGAAAATTCTTCATTAGTGTATGAGAGAATGCTGTAGGAAAGATTAATTGATTTCTCTCCTTTTTTATGGCCCTGTTATTGAAGGCTAGAAGGCTTGATTGACCTAGAAAGGAGTCGATACGGTATTTGAGCACCGGACTGCCACCGTGATAAGCGGCTGCGTTTACCATTAGACCGTCCCTGCCCAGTTGTATAGTAAAAGTGCTTCGCTATTTACCACACAAGCTTGACCACTACAGCTTTACCAGAGTTGACAGCTTTACCAGTAGGGCTTTCGAAGTCAACTCGAAGCAATCTCAAGAAAGGACTTTTTCAAGATCTATGGTTCCTTAAGGAAGACCCTGTTTTGACGGGTTTTACATAAAACGAACAACAGAAACCTTATTTTCGCGCGAGTGCACAGAAGGACGGTCACGCTGTTTTCAGCGCGATTGCATTGTTCGCCCCCTCAGGCAGGGAAAGAGGGATAAGCCCGGGATTGAGCACCCACTTGCTGGTGATGGTCGGAAATAACCAGGAAACATTCAGTAGCCAAAAGATGGGGTCCTATCCTCTCAATGATTCCCAAAATGATGCACACTCACACTGCGAATAGCAGTTTTGAAGAACTATCGGTACCGATTTTTTTTCCGAAACAGGTACAGGATCTTCTAGCAAATTATTGCGGGAGTTCATTTAGTTCCTACATGGCGTCACTATGATGCCTATGCCCTTTTTCCATTGGAAAATGGAGCACTGACATTTTACGCAGCTACTGCGCTAACAGACATCAGTTCAAATTTCGACCACGCCAATTAAACTTTCATTCTGTTCATAGAGGGTTAATCAATACCATGCCCGGGTGCAATTTGGCGACGAGGGGCATTTTGTACTAGTTCCGGTTTACAAGTCTCACTCTGGCAAAACCTGTGAACTCTTGTGAAGCTGGAGCAAGGTCGTCAAGCCATCATGGTAAAACCTATCAACTCGGGGGAGGCTGTCTAGATAGGTGACACGTCGATGGGAAGTAAAAAGAACGCCAAAATGCCGACCAACCCGCCCGCATTGTCGTTTGTCAAGATAAAGACATCTTCGCATACGTCATTGTCAAACGCGTTAGTGGGCCATGTATAAGGACCGAAAAGGCATTGAAAGGCTGTAGACTCCACAAGGAAAGGATTCCAATCGCCCAATTGTCATTCACGATGAAATTGCTAGGTGCCCTTCGTACGACTAATTCAGATCTGCTCTTCCAAATTCTCCTGAGGCAGTCGGTGAAAAGAGGCACAAGGACCTTTTTGGCTGCTATGCTCAACGATTTGCGAAATGGCAGCCCTCTGCCCATCCATACTTTGCCGCTTGTAAACCTTTCGTGTGAGGCGACTAATTGCCAGTGCTGTTATTCTCTGGGCGCAGCAGTAGGTGAACGCCCGATAGCCCTGGGTCATATGTAGGTTCGGGTCCAATGTCTACGACCTGCCATCAAGGTTTCTGACAACTCACGTCCACTGGCTGCCAGTCCCCTCATATAGCATTGACTGCCACTATCGAATGGCTATGTAATGGGATGGGAGGTTTACAAGCGCGAAGTATGGGCGCAGGGGCGGAGGGCAGTGGTTACCCACGTAGCTAAGAAAGACCATAACTTCTGTTCTAGAATAGTTTCAGCAGATTCGGAAGTCAGATTTGTTATGCAGCGTCTAGCTGTAATGCTATCAACATGCGTTAATGGTTGTCTAGTTTGATATCCTTGTCCTTGTCAGAAAAAAGTGCAGCGCACGAAGCCAATGACTGCATTACATCCCAATCAGAAAGAGATGACGTATAATTATAATTAAATATTGAACTGTAATATTGCGAGCAATTTATAGGGAGGGAATTTTAGTGCGAATTTGTTGCGAAGTTGCACCTTGTATGTATGGGTGGAGAAGGAAAATGAAGAGCGTTTAAATGTTATAATCGCTTTAACAGCTCCTGAAATGTCCTCTATAAGCACAAGTATGCGCTCCTCCTCAACGTCTACGACCACACGTTACGACGACAAGACGAAGTCAGACCTCACCTTGGCCGTGTCTGCCTCGCCGAGATCAAGACGCCCTACACTGTTCGTGTCACTCTAAAGCGTGTTCTAGGCACGGTTGAGTCACTTATACGCATCTCCCTAGCGACTGTCGTTCTGACGTTAGTAGACAGTGGGCGGCCGTCCTGCTTCTTGGACAACGTCACTATGATTTACGATTCGGTTTTCATGGCTCGGTTCTAGAAGTCAAGGTGGACGTGAAGTCCTAATAGTATCCCGGGCATGCAGGTTTGACGGATTCTGAAGACACCTGGATCAAAACTAATGTCCGTCTTACATGCTCAGGACATCCACCTTAACCTCAAACATTCCGTGCCCAAAAATGGTTGGAACCGTTGCGCGCTCTACGAGCGACAGTGACTTTCAATTATTGCCCCACCTTCCCTATTGCCCCATCTTTCCGAGAATATAGCACTTTCGTCACTCGAAATGGCGAGATAACGAAGCTAGAGACGCGTGAGTTTTGCAACCGGTGCAACCGCGTACTGTAACTCTGCAAGACAACGGCTTACAAGCGGAATGCGTGTGTACATAGCGTTGCCTGGAGCGTCGTAGGGCGATTTCTATGCTCTTGCCGGAATTGGTTGCACCTAGAATCCTGCTGATTGGGCTTGTCCTCATGATGAACTCCAGCCCACTGCTGGAGGGGGGGGTCTGTGTCAGAGAGTTCCCAAACTTTTTTTCGCTTCATTCTCTAATGAGGATGAGCACTTGCTACCGTTACACTTGATCGCGGGAATTGTCTGTAATACACTTGTTCCAAAGGAGCTATCGATTGAGCAGTCACACTTCCCATCTTGGGCTACCTGGCTTCGGCGACGACATCTTTGAGCTGCCTCTTTTGCCTTAGGGTCGTACGATATCCTGCCGCTATTTCTATTCTTTTTGTAGGAAAGGTGAATAGAAGTGAATTACATGTACTTGTGTCTGTGTGGAGGACATTTCACGATTCAGTTCATTTCACGTGGTTCTGACTTGGTCCCATCTTGTCATGATTTTTCTCAGCTTTGATACGTATCACGTAAACTGAAGTGCATTCCTCTTAAGACGTTGAACTGAGATTTCAGCCTTTTCTTGGCAAGAATCCGGAAATGAAGCCAATGAAGATTGCTGATGTGTCTAGGGATTCTCAGTAGAGTACAAGAAAGATGGACAAACTTTTAGTAGAATCAACACAAATCAGGGGCGCTTTTTCCACCAGAAATTTTGAGGAACCTTTTCATCACTATCTACGTTGCCTAGAACACAACAACAGAACGTATATTCGAAATCCCTAAGATGAAATAGGCTGCGTACTTCAGCAGAACGTCGTGGTGGCTATGCTTTTGGAGAGATATTTTCATTTTGACCCAAATGTGGTCACGTCTCTGTCCAACAAAGAACAAGATGGCGGTTGTCTCAAATTGAAATATCCCACGAGTAACCAGTTCTGTGCCATGTTCGAATGCCACGCCTACCCCGTCTCAGGGATAAGGAGTATATGTGTGGCCTCGAAGGATTTGAATTGTTGATTTTCCTCGTTTCAAGCGTACT